CCCTTTTCTTCCTTCTTCATAAGTTTAAGTAGTATCTTATAATTAAGTAGAAAAATCCTCATTGCAAGTCTTTAAGGGTCAGTTATTGGGCTAGAAAGGAAAATAATCAAAGTGTCACTTCTTAATTAGACAACTTAGTTTTTGATTAAGCTTAAAAGGCCTCGTGACACAAGATTTTTAACCATTTTTGTGCTGCTTTCCTACACAAAAAGTCCAGTGCAGACAAGCGTGCCGAAGTTTTGAAAGGAGAACAACAAAACCGAAAGCTAAAGACCAAAAAAGTCCTGTGCATCTCCTTTTCCTGACACAAAACCATTTCAAGAAGGTTTCCCCAGGAGCCCCTGGGGAGCAGCCCAAGGTGGGGCCAGCAGAGCCGGGTTTGTTGGGACGTCCTGGAGCATCATGGAGGGGGAGATGTATTTTGGGCTCGTCAGCTGCTCTCGCTCACAGGCAGTGGTGGGGGTGGTTCACAACCCCCCCTTGCCCCAGGACCCTCCTCCAGCCCCGTTCCCACCAGCCAGGGGCGTCTGGGGGTCTCTGTCCCCACACTACGAGGCCCCAGCACCCATCCTGCTGCTCTTCCCTCCCCAAATGGGGGCAAGATGCTTCCCCTGCTGCCTCCCCCCACTGCTGGGCAGGCTCAGCCTCTCAAGGGCTTCAGGTTTTGCTGGTTTGTAAAGGTTTTGGGGAATTCAGAGCCGTGATGTGTCTCATTTCCTTCTCTGTTCCCCCCCTGGAAAATGGAAAAGAGAGAGAGGTCCAAGCAGCCCTGGCTTCGCGCTGTGCTGCTGGTTTTGGGGTTTTCTCATCCAGTTTGGGGCATGCAGCCACTCTGCAAATCTGTCATGGGTGAGGAAGTTGTTTTAGCCCTTAAAAATGCCTTAAAGGCCAAGCTGGATGGAGCCTGAAGCAACCTGGGGTAGTGGAAGCTGTCCCTGTCCGTGGGGTGGAACGAGATGAAATTTAAGATCCCTCCCAAGCCATTCTGGGATTCTGTGATTCAACAGCCACGTCCACAGCGAGGATAAACCAACATCCTGAGCTCTGCAGGCTCCATGAGTCACCTCAGCACGGAATTCCTCCCCCAAAAACCAAAGGACCCTCAGCCATATCCCTCTCCCCTCCGAATCCATCCGCTGGCTTCTCCAGTATCGCTCTCCCTCCTCGGTGTCATGGGGAAGGAATTTGGGCTCTCTTTGAGAATCAGAGAGGGATCCGAGCAGCAGTGGAAGCCCCTGACCACAAAGATTTCGGCAGGGCTTTCAAGCCCCTGACCACAAAGATTTCGGCAGGGCTTTCAAGCCCCTGACCACAAAGATTTCGGCAGGGCTTTCAAGCCCGCCTCGCTCGTGTGGCCGCTGGCCAAGGACCTGCTCCTGCCTGGGCATCCCCAGCCCCACTCATAAATCAAAGCATTCCTCCTCTCGGCGCCCGTGAACGCTCACAGAGGTTTCATCTTTTAAAAAATTTCATCTGGGCAATTGTTCAAAAATGTTAAAATTACCTGCTCCTTTTATTCTCTAATGACAGCCTGTGGAGGAGTAATTTAAGCCAGACATGGAAATGTCTGGTTTAAGGTTAAAAAGTCCCCCAAGCTGAACTTTATCCAGCAGCAGCCACGAGAAATCAACTTGCACGGTGTTAATTTTTGGTTCCTCTCATTAATAAAGCCATGGAGGATCCCAGCCCAGGTGGGTCCAGCTCTGTCTTCACATCTTCAGTGCAAGGATTAAATCTGGTTTCCATGTTTAATCTGGTTTCGTGTTTAATTTATTTCCATGTTTAATCTGTTTCATGTTTAATCTGGTTTCCATGTTTAATCTGTTTCATGTTTAATCTGGTTTTATGTTTAATTTATTTCCATGTTTAATCTGTTCCATGTTTAATCTGGTTTCCATGTTTAATCTGGTTTCATGTTTAATCTGGTTTCCATGCTTAATTTATTTCCATGTTTAATCTGTTTCATGTTTAATCTGGTTTCCATGTTTAATCTGGTTTCCATGCTTAATTTATTTCCATGTTTAATTTATTTCCATGTTTAATCTGGTTTCATGTTTAATCTGGTTCCTGGAACCAGAGCCTGATTGAAAATCACAGACCCATGGGATCATCAGGGTTGGAAAAGAGCCGCAAGTTCAAACCCAGCCCGTGACTCAGTGTCCCCGCTCCCACTGAACGTGAAGTGCCTCGTGGATCCCTCTGGATCCCCCTGGATCCCTTCCAGCTCAGGAGATTCCGGGAGGGTGATGATGAGGATGATGATGGTGACGATCCCGTCCTTGTCTCCTGCAGTGACGTTTCTGAGACTCCTCCAGCCCACGAGGAAAAATCGCCACCTTAGGTGCCGAATCCGTAACCCGAAAATTCCGAAGCAAGGAGACGAGCGTGCCTCCAGCTGGTTTATCCCAGCGCTTTTCTGGGAATTCCCAGGGTTTCTCCTCAGCCATTACTCACTCCCTGCCTGTGGCACCTCGGTGGGGAATGGGGCAACATCCCCACAGCTGTGCCCAGCCCCGGGGCAGCACATCCCGAGCTCCCCGCCCGCTCCACCAGCCCTGAGCGCTTCCAGGTGGGACCATCCCGGCTCCTGCTGGGCCAGGGATGGGAGCCAGAGGCTCCCCGCCAGCAGATGTCCCAGAGGGAACGTTCGAGCCTCCAGTTCCCCCATTAAAAACGTGTTGGGAGGGATTTGACGACTGGGTTTGACGGAGGGAAGAAATCCCTGCGGGTCCTGGCAGCGCTGAGGATTTACGAGCTGGGGCTTCGCTTTGGGTTGCTCTGCCTGATCCTGGTATGTAGGAAAGGAGCAAAAAAATAAAAAAAAAAACCCCAAAACGAGGAGGGATGGTGTCTGCATTCCTGCTGCCTGAATCAGAGCGGTTTCCTGGCAGATCCAGGCCCTCCCCAGCTGCGGGGATGGGGAAGGTGCAGCGGTGGCTGCGCGGAGCGGGGCAGCCCTGCCATCCCCAGAGCCACGTCCTAAACCCGCTCCGCTCTCCCTCTCCTCTTCCTCAGGGCTGCAAAGTCTCCCCCACCACTCGTGAAGGGCTTTTAGGGAGGTGGTGGAAGTTTTGTCGCAGTTTGTTAAAGGGCAGAGTCTTCCCAATCCTTTTCCTTCCCAATCCTCTTCATTCCCAATCCTTTTCATTCCCAATCCTTTTCCTGCCCAATCCTTTTCCTTCCCAATCCTTTTCCTTCCCAATCCTCTTTGTTCCCAATCCTTTTCCTTCCCAATCCTTTTCCTTCCCAATCTTTTTCCTTCCCAATCCTTTTCCTTCCCAATCCTCTTCATTCCCAATCCTCTTTGTTCCCAATCCTTTTCCTTCCCAATCCTTTTCCTTCTCAATCCTCTTCCCTCCCAATCCTTTTCCTTCCCAATCCTCTTCATTCCCAATCCTTTTCCTTCCCAATCCTCTTTGTTCCCAATCCTTTTCCTTCCCAATCCTCTTCCTTCCCAATCCTCTTCCCTCCCAATCCTTTTCCTTCTTTCCGACGCGGGGTGAAGGGAGGTTTGGGATGAGTCCAACCTGCCTCAGGTACCCCTCAGGTATGGAAAATCATCCCCTGAGGCTGGGAAAGGAGGGCAGAGGAATCTCCCAGC